CGTTCGAAATGCAATGTCACGACCTGCCAGATACCTAGCAATATCAATATCCAGGAATCGATCATCAAGTCTACAGACAAGCAATGCATCTGATGCTGATGTGACTGCCAATTTCCATGGCACTGTGGCTTCTACTCCAAAGTCAAAGATATACCAGGTTTTGATGTGTTTTCTATCATCTTTGTATGGGTGATTGAAATCATGCCGTTCATTGTCACGAATATTGATCACATGACAGATCTGTTGAAGGCGTTTGGATTTTGTTAAGGAATCAGCATGATACATGTTAATATCACAGTTGATATTTTGAATGTTTTGGCGACACTGCAGTTCTTCCGTGAAGGCAACCCAAAACCTAACAAGGTCCAAATTCCAGAATTGATGTAACACATCTTCATTTTTATTTGTTGGCAATCGACCAATCCATCGGAGCCAAAACTTTCGATGTTTACTAGTCAAAGAGGGTAATCCTTGAGAGTTGAAGGTTTGTGGAGTGACCAATCCATAACGTTCATGCATGATGTGTTGTACTTGATCGATCAGACCTTGTAAGGTGCACCTTGGGCCCTTCAGAGTGTCCTGGTAGTGGTCAGGCAATGTATTGGCATTCTCATAGTCTTCTTCGGTCATGGGCTGAATCATGGGTTGTTGTAGTGGGGGTTGTTCAATCACCTCATCATACTGCTTGGGATTTTGGAAAGGATCAGCATCTTTATATGCATCTTCATCTTCCTGACTGCTAGATGCATCTGGTGGTCCAAATGCACAGCAACAGTCCCACTGATTCCAGAATGAGCTATAGACTTTTTGCTGAGAGCCATATTCTGCCAAAGTTTCCTCACGTTCTCTTACAAAAACCTCCTCACGAACAAGATGATCAGGATCTCTGTCCCACACAAAGACCTGTGCAGTCTTTGTTGGTGGTATCTGTTCTCGATTCAACCTTCTCTCACGTTCAGATGGCTTCTCAAGAAAGAGCAATCGGGTTAAGCACTCCCTGCGTTTCTGGAAAAAATGTTCCCAAATCTGGTTCGGGTACTTCTTAGCGAGATTTGTTGGTATGTGGGAAAGAGCTTCCTCCCTTTGAAACTCGATTTGATGAGGCAGAGGGCCTATTGATGATAAATAAGGATTTCCCTCAGCTCTCTTAATCTCATACTTGTCCCATTGGTACCAGACAGGAATATTATGATCGACAAACCATCGGACAGATGGTTGGCAGGTGTGTCTAATGTCGGTATTGTTCAGATGTATAAATGTGCCCACACGCCGACTCTCGTGGGTACAAGTGCCAATATCAGATGCACGAATGAGGTCAATAATTGAAGGATGGAACTGCAGCTTTTCAACCAGAAAGGAGTTCCATTCTTGATACGATGTTGAATCGGCTCTTGCGACTGCGTAAGAGAAGAGACCAATCCACAGAAGAAAGATTTCTCTAGCGGCATGTGCTTCCCTCCATGCAATGGAAGGTGATGCATGTGCCCTCAGATATCCTCGTGCAGAAGGATATGCGGGAGCGAGTGCTCCAAATCTACTCAAGCCTTTCATTGCGTTGACCATCCAACATTCTGCATTTCGCCATCCGTTCATAACGTGGGCAGGCAACTGGTACTTGCCATCGACTTGATCGAAATCACTGCGTATGTGAGCAAGAATGCCAAGTAAAGCACCTTCAAGGTGAGCACATTTAGGTATGAATGCCATCCACCCAAACACCTGTGTCCACCAATGAGGTACGTGGATCATGGCAGACAGATTTTCATGGAAGTGTACAGTGGGACTTTCCGGGCTTCGAAGATCAACACAGTTTGGAGGAGTTTGAATATCATCACTACAGTTAGGAGAATAAAACAGCCGGTCTTGAATTCGTTGAAGTCGTCCACGAGAGCGATCAAGGGGCCTTGATACTAGTTAGTAAAGATGGAGTGCAATTGTTAACAAATACGCACGCATTTTCATTTTCAGCCGTGGCGCTGTGCAACTCTGGAAAATAAGGCTCACGCCGGGGTGCACTGGGAGCAGCCATGTCCCAAGGCGTAACGCTAAAGTGCACGATGAATTGAGTACGGTGAAATACGCGAAAATCGCAACGCTTACAGAGATGGATTGTCCATGTAGCGTTTAGCAACTAGATTTTCTGACCTCAATGGAGTCCGTTGATGATAAGTTCGTAATAATCGAGACCTTATTGCGTTTGAGAAAGCAAATATTGAACCCACAACAGGTTTGGTATAACCAAGACGCTATCGTGCTAATCTGAATGCAAGAACCAGGACAGAAGATAGGTTTGGTATAACCAAGACGCTATCACGCCAGTCAAGTTGACGCTTGGATCGGAGAGATCTCAAAAATCAATTGGAGTCAAAGCAGCCGTCTCGTTGTGACCGTCGAAATATATTATCCAATGATGCAAAGACCTTGACTTGTGGGTGTGGGCCAGTGCTTTGCATGGCATGTATGAGTCCTTTCTGTGGACTCTAAATTTAATATTAGGAAATTGGTCATGTAATCACTTTATGATTTTCTGAGTTTTGTTCTATATTTGCAAATAGACCCTGAGCTCTGAGCCTAGCCATCAATATCATAGCAACAATGTGTGGTATTCTTTTTTTTTTTTTTTTCATTTTATAGCAAATTTTCCCAATTTTATAACTATTTTTCTGTTTATGGTAAAATATTCCCACAGTCCTGTTTGCATATATCTCAGGAAAGAGGATGGTTAGTTATATTTTGTGACCTATAATAGCATGCTCTATATATTTGTGATGAATTTCCTTTTTTGGGTTAAAATTCCCACGGTATCAGAAACACAGCCTCTCACTTAGCTCCATAAACAATAATTGTAGCCCCTTTCCTTACCTTTATAGATATATATAAATAATGTCATGCAGACCATTCCTCATTGAGAAAAACACAAAATACTGAAAAAATTGG